AACCGCTGAAGTGTCGACCATTTCTGGCTGGCAACTTTCAGCGTCATTAAGCTGCTGTGCCACTGCGTCCCCTACAGGACTCTATGCTCTGGGGCAAATGAGTACACAACCTACACATTAATACCACTAGCTGCTAAAATAGACTCTTCCTTGGTAACAATGGTAAGATAACGATTTTCTGATGAACTCCTGATGAAGAGATTTCTGTCTTGAGGTGGAAGCTAATAAACACAACAGAACTGTATCTGCACTGTCTCGGGGAGTTCTTTGGACTGAACCTGGCATCAGTCTCTCCAGACTCAACCTAACTTCCCAAGCCAGCAAGCCAAAACACTGTGAATTCCTTAGGGTGGTGCCAATCTCATCTTCTTAAACTTCCCACACTCCTGTTGAGGGCTAAGGGAATGCTTATCTCCTCGAGCGCAGCCTTCATCCAACTATTCCTTCACAAAAAGAGGATTTATCTTTCTGTTTGAGACAATTTTTCCAATCAAGATCCTCTCTCACTTTCCTAAAGCTCCATTTTTTTCTCAATTCCAATCTATAGTACTATAGCTACTTTATCACCTGAAGTGAAAACTTCATCAGTGGCATTAAGAACACTAGGAAAAACTTATTTTGACTTTAGCTGAGATGCATAAAATCAGTCTTGCTTCTCATTTGTGAATTCCAAGCATTTTTTTCCAAAATACAAAACAAATGAAATCCCAAGCTTCTTTAATTCTTGCAACAAAATCAAACCACCTAATTATGTAATGGTATGTGGGAAAGACCTTGGGAGACTGGAAGAGATGCTGCCTAGAGAACAGTCAGATAAGAGATAGCATAGCCCACAGCTGGATAGTGGGTGGGGCAAGAGGCTCAGAACAGACCCTAATTTCTCAGGATGTAAAGGAGACATGGGGTGGGGGGAATAACTGTACTTTCAGAGTTGAAAGATTCTATTAACATAGCTTTACAATAAAATAGAATTAGCTCATCTGGTCATGTTTCCTGTCTGGTCTACCTAGTAAGGCTGACATCAATCTTGCAAGTCTCCTACTCTCTTCCAAAGAGATGAATTTCAGGAATGGCCTCCAATCCTCAAGAACTGTGGTATCCACTGAGCATCTGGCAGCAGCATTGTTGCAACACCAGCAGCAAGTGGATGCACAGATAACCAATTTGCAGAATGCCAGCAGCAGTGCAAGCTTACCCACCTCCCACCCCCGTAATGTAGAACAAGGGAGGATCGGCACTGCCAGAAAAATATGCAGACTTTGCAGATGTATTTGAGGACAAGTATGAGGTAGAAGTGGTGCTAGACTCTAGATGCAGGGAAGTGGGTTGAATACTTGATACACTGGAAAGGCTACCCAGAGTCGGAGAGGTCATGGGAGGCAGCAACAGACGTGCTTGTGCTGCAATTGGTGCACCATTTTCACAACCCAAACCCCATCCTCAACAACTACCAACCTTGCAGGAGTTAGGTGCTGACCAAGATGAGCAGGAGGAATTCTTCTATGGGGTGGAGGGCACCTCAGGGATAGCAAGAGACCAAGTAGGGAGCATGGGAAATGACCCAGCTCTTTCTCCATCAGGCATACAGGACATGGCGAGGGGGAGACTAACATATTTCCGATGGAGGAGCAGCTATCACCTCTACACGTGCAGCTGATTTACAGGATGCCGCGTGTGATCTTGGGGAGTTACCGACTGTTCTGCCGAGCACTGGCCATGTGCTAGACAATTGCTTCTTTTGGGATCTAGAGGCAATGAACATAGGAGATTTTAAGCTTTATTGTTAACCATAGCAGACAGATTTAAACAGAAACACAATTTAAGCAAACAGAAACATAAAAGCATATAACACATAAAAGCATAGCATACCAAGCAAGATGACACCCAATCTCCCTTCAGCTGTCTGGAGCCACAGTGGAATGACAGTGGAGATAACCCAAGGCAGCCAATTCACACAATTTATTAATTTAGGTAATTTTATATAGCCACCCATCTCATGTAGGTGACTCTGGGTGGCGAACAAAGTTAAAAAGAACAGTACAACAAATAATCACAAAGACACAGCAAAAAGCATATCGAATTTCTCTTTTTCCTACCCACCTGTATCCAATTCCATAGTCATACATGCCTGGGCCGAGCTACCTCGAGCCATCAGTTCTCTTTCCAGTGAAAGAGCTTGTGAGGACATTTTAATTAAGAGCATGTTCGTATCCAGAAAAACTTCCATCTATATTAGACTTGCTTTGTCCTTAACATAGATGTCAATGATGCAAACTGGGTTGTTGTTGTTTTTTTAGCGTTTTGGGGAAAATGTTTTGAAATCTTTAAATTTGCTTCCCTTCTACAGTCAGCAGTTTCTATTTCCTGTTTCAGTATGCATCTCGTTTTTTTATGTTCTAAACTTACTAATAAATCTCATAGTAGTTGTCTTCTTTGTGCATTTCTTGAGTTCATTCTATGGGCACATTGGATAGTTGGGAAATCCCCTTGAATTTTTAGAAATTTTTCCATTAGATCTTGAATTTTGGCTTCTGCATCTTCTTTGCCAAGATCTTCAGGAATGCCTCTTAATCTTAAATGTAATTCTCTCTGCTGGGAATCTAAAATCTCCAAAATGTCCTCTATTTGTTGATTTTTAAATTGTTGAGCTTCTTGGCCTTTCTTCAAACTTTCATATGTTTCAGCTTTGATATGTCTTGTGTGTAGGCTTGCACATGTTTTGTAAATCCTCTTACAGTGGTACCTCGGGTTACGAACGCCTCTGCTAAC